TGTAAGCGCCCTGGTTAAATTGGTTATGGGCACTTGTGTTAATTTACAATACTGTTTCATTTAATAAAGAGGCTAGTAAGCACAGCAAAACACTAGGTGATAGGCGTTTGTGTTAATAATCAATATTTTGTTATTCAATAGTGTGGCCAGTGAGCACTCCGGGTCATCGGATGATAGGCGTTTGTGTTTATTATTAATACTTTATCATTTAATAGAGAGGCTAGTATGCACTTCGGTTCACTAGGTAATAGGCGTTAGTGTTAATCATTAATATTTTATTATTTAATAGAGTGGCCAGTAAGCACTTCAGTTTATCAGGTGATAGGCGTTTGTGTTAATAATTAATATTTTATTATTTAATAGAATGGCCAGTATGCACTCCGGTTTACTAGGTCATAGGCGTTCGTGTTAATAATTAATACTTTATAATTAAATAGAGAGGCCAGTAAGTGCCCCGGGTCATTGGGTAATAGGCGTTCGTGTTAATAATTTATACTTTATTATTTAATATACAGGCTAGTTAACGCTCTGGGTCATTGGTTGATAGGCGCTTGTGTTGATAATTAATACTTCATCATTTAATAGAGAGGCCAGTAAACGCCCTGTGTCATTGGGTGATATTACAATTTCTAATTTTCGCGTGTCTTTGGCAATGCCCCTTTACTGCTGTGCTGTCTGCTCGACGGAACATTATCTCAGATCGTACAGCTATATATACGATTTAGGGAAAAATCTCCGATATTGAATCTGCCTTACCTAACGCTGAGAACGGCACGAAAATGAGACCCCAGGATTAGGGTTGTTAATAAAATTTGCTTTTCAGAATTAGAAGTTTTGAAAGTTTTAGAACTTGTAAAAGTTCTGTTTTGTTTGCTAAAATCTATATAGCTTCAGCTATAAGGCATAGGGTCTATAGAGTATAGAGATAATGCGTGTTGTGCTCTCCTACTGTAACTAGTGTACGAACCCTTATTCTTTTTTGTCAATCAGTTGATACCAGGGATCTCAGAAGTGATAGAATATCTTGGCGGAAAATTCAAATGGACTATATGGGGCATGTCGCAGAAACCCAGATAATACTTTTATGCATGAAAAATTAATAAAATAAACCTAAGCTATTCAACATAATGACCCGGGGTGACTACAAGCGAATATCTGAAATAATAAATTGTTAAATTTAATAACAAAAGCGCCTTTTACCCAATGACCGGGGTGCTTACTGGCAAATGGATTTAATAATTAATTGCTAAATTTAATAACAAAAGCGCCTTTCACCCAATGACTCGGGGCACTTACTGGCAAATGTATTAAATAATTAATTGCTAAATTTAATAACAAAAGCGCCTTTTACACAATGACCCGGGGTGCTTACTGGCAATCGTATTAAATGATAAATTGTAAAACACACGTGCTTATTACCTGATGACCTCAGGCGATTACTGGCCACTTTGTTAATTAATTAATTGTAAAATTTATAAAAGTGTATTATTGATTAATAANCGTCTAACTTCTTCTGAATGTTAATAATGTTGTTGGAACTTACATCTGATATAATTTTGTCGATTTCATCTGAATTGCTGTTGCCTAAATCAATGTAGATTTTTTCAGTAACAGATTGTTTGGCTTTAGTGAAGTATGATCTTCTGATTGCTCTTCTGAAGTATTGAGTTCATCTTTCTTCTCCCTCCCAATCTCAGACTGGGTATTCTCTGGACTGATAGACTCATCCATAGACTCTGAATTTTGACTGTTGAGAATATCTACAATATCAGTCTGAGATTGTGTCATGAACTCAACCAGTGAGACTATATGTGCCAAAAACTGATATTTATTCCAATTTCTAGTTTTTGCAGTGGTTTGATTTTCAACTTCTAACTCTATTATCCAGTTCGGTTTCTCATATACGCCTGAGATATATATTTTTCCCGTTTCCTTGTCAAAGATTTCTAGATATTTGTCATCTAAATAGATGCCTAAACCGGCATCGGCAAATTGTCTTAAGGAGATCAAGTTGTTAGAGATGTCCTTCGCAGCTATCACGTTTGTTAATTTAAACTGTTCATTTAAATTTAGTTTAAAAATTAAGTCGCCTTTCCCATCAATAATGATGTTAACTGAGTCGTTTTTATTTGCACTTCTGATGAATTCATTGTTGCATTTCTTAAAATTTGTTAGAATAATTCCTTTGTTAACAACGTGATGAGTTGCTCTGGAATCAGCAATAAAAGATATTTTAGTTTTACCTCTGTAGTTTTCTATATGATTACCTGTTAACATAGCCTTAAATTTGGTTGCCTGTTGTTGTTTGGCTTGTGTACTCATGTTACCTTGCTTTTTATTTACACGGCCATTACCTCTGAATTCAAAATTACCGTTGCCTTTGCCTCTACCATTACCTCTGAGCTTGCTATTGTTTTTACCTCTATTATTATTATTGTCATTAGAATTATTTTTAACATACCCATCTTTAGGATGATTCCTGTTTGGGCATGCATCTCCCTTGTGGTACTCGAAATCCTGGCAGTAAAAGCAGTACCAGAGTCCATACTGGCTTAGAGGACAGTTAAGGAGTCTGTGACCGAGTTTGTTGCATCGGAAACACTTAGTGTCCTTATTCGCCTGATCGTTGACTCTCTGACTGCCTGTAGCCATGTTGGCCCTGGCCTGCTCTGAATTCGACTCTGATTGATTTCTTTCTGCCTGCAATTGTATTAGACTTGTCTTCATTTCTTCAAGACTCATCTCNGAATTTTCCGCCAAGATATTCTATCACTTCTGAGATCCCACAATCCCTGGCATCAACTGATTGACAAAAAAGAATAAGGGTTTGTACACTAGTTACAGTAGGAGAGCACAACACGCATTACCTCTATACTCTATAGACCCTATGCCTTATAGCTGTAGCTATATAGATTGTAGCAAACAAAACAGAACTTTTAAGTTTTAAAACTTTCAAAACTTCTAATTCTAAAAAGCATTTTTTATTAACAACCCTGCCCAGAATGCCGCACCTTATATTTTTACTCCATGCGTGCACCTCTTTCTTTCTCTTATGGGCTGTTGCGTGGAGACACAGTCGATCCAACATGGATTTCCTGGTCCAAATTCAAAGTACGATCAATAGAAATATAGGGGCTTACGACTGTGAAAGAGTGTTAGTTCAAATAAAATAAAAAAAATAAACAAAATAAACCCAATAAAAATTAGTACACTAAATGGAGTGGAAGGGATTGAATCAAATTAACGACAAAGGATTCCTAATGAATAAAGAAAAAAATAATAAAAAATGGCCTAATTAAATAAAGAAAATTGATAAATTATAATGCTAAAATTTACTGTTATGAAATGTCTGAAATGAGCAAATAAAAGGGGGAAGGGATTGATACAATTAATAACAACTAATTAATGGGAAAAAGCCGGTGGCATAAAAAACCCAGATTTATTAAATCAACTTGGAGTGTATACAATTGAAGAACAGATTAAACTAATAATAACATTGACAACTTGAACGGTGGTAAGCGTGTGTTGTGAAGATGCGTGAATGTTTAAGTGTGTGCGGAAGGACCTGGTGGTAACGACTCCCAGTGTGTGAATGCGAGACGAGTGAGTGAGGAGTGATCTCCTCTGCGAACCGGCGGGCCCTGCACGGTGGCACGAGTCAGCGCAAAGCTGGTGAAAGCGGGCCGACGCCCGGAAGTCGAAGTTGACTACCACCTGCGGTAGTTTGCGATGACGGTTGTTATGAGTTGTGTGTTCGGGTGGGGACCCTGATTCCGGAACGAGAATCGGAATGAAGCGGACGAGATATGGAGTGATGATGACGGGATGACAATGTGCACTGAATAAGACGTAATAGATGTATGATATGTACGATATGTAGTGACAAGGTTAAATGCGGATGGATGGAGCGAAGACGATGTTAAGATGATGCTACGTGCATACAGAGATGTGAGACCAACGATGATGACTCGTATAACAGATGGGATGACTGATAAGGTGGTTAGTGGCGTGCTCGAGAAAGATCGTGACGGTGGGTGGTGGTCGATGAAGTTGAGGTCGATGAAGTTGAGGTCGATGGAAGGTTGGACGATGGGGAGAGAGAGAGATAATGTAGAGCAAGCGAACGGTGTCGAGGTGACAGGGGGAGGGGGGGGGCGTGCAGGGAAGAAACAAATGACGAGCTAGTATGATGATGACAAAAGCGGTTTCGAGGAAAGAAGGATTGATTTTAGGAAAAGGGAGACAGCATGAATAAGAGATGAAAGGGTTATGATGTATGTGAGTATGAATAAGAGATTGACGGATGAGCGAATGAATTGACGGTTTGTTGCAGAGGATGTTGAGATGTAGCACGAGCACGCAAATGCAGTTAGTGGCGAATGCGGAAGCTGATAAAGCGTGGGTGATAGACTAATTAGGTGAAGAGAGATGTAAGAGAATGTCAATTCTATGAGTGAAGATGAAGATAGAAAGAAAAAATATAAGAGAGACTTAAGTTTTAATGACGATGTCCTGAGTCCTGGGGCTCGATGACAGCGGCGAAATCTCCTGCAGACGGTACAAACTGTAAGCGGTAAAACAAGCACTAAGCGAGATATTAACGATGCTTCCAATTCGGCGTGTCAGACCAGAGAGAGCGTGCAACGGAAAAAGTAAAACTGTCAAATCCTGAAGCCCCGCCCCTACCTCCACCGTACTGACGGGACACGAGCCAATCAGCGGCGGGTGCAGGCGCGCTCAAGGCTCCAGGGGAAATTAGAGTGTGTTCGACTCTGAGTAGCATGCGATTCCGCTCCAATTCCGTCCCTCGACGGAACATGGGCTCATACGGTTGCGCGGTACGCGTTACGTTCTTCATGTGCCCGAGCCCTTAGGCAATTCTGCTTTATTGCTGTTTGCTCCGCGGAACATTCTTCGTAGATCGTATAATAGCTGTACGATCTAGGAAAAAAGTTCCGATCTTGAAATTGAATCCGCCTAACCCACCACGGCCTAACCCAAGAACGCTGGTCGGTCTTGATCTAGTTCAAGTTAACTTTCTCTTCGGTTTTTCTTTAATCTATTTATTGGCGTCATATTGACTAAACATAAGCCAGTACACTACTGGATACATTTAATGATATTCACATATATTTATACATACAATACATTGGTTTGTATATAAGTAAATCATTGAAACATTCGTGCGCTTAGAATACTAATGTTGCGCTTAACAATTCAGTTCACTCCCTCGAAGTGAAACTAGCACGAGAGCCCTCTATCAAGAGTGGTATTAAGCATAATATAAGGATCCTGCAAGATTCGGAATTCGGAACTGGCAGAACCCTGCAGCATTGCTGGGATAGCTATCACCTAAAAAAAAAATAAAAAAACATTTCTCATTATTGACAGTAGCTGACTGAGCTTAAATACAGCATAATTTGCGGAATCAAAAATTTTTCAATTTATTTCAAATTTAGTGACATGTTGACGTTGCTTCGAACATCTTTGAAAATAACGGTAATTTTATCGAATGATTACCTTTTCAAGTGTACTATTACTAGCTAGGTTTTATTGATCTTACGTAATCTGTATGATCATTAATTTAATATTCATCAAAAATTCTATTGTAATTAGAATTTTTATTTTTACATTGGTGTAATTATACGTTTTAGTTGACATATGTCAATTGACAGGGTATAGGTCCTGTATCCTTGATTTGTTTTTGATTATATTCTATACAAGATCAGTGTTACAATATTAAAATACAATACCCTTAATAATTCACATTTTAAAGCGAGTTAGATTTGCAAAACCATACAGTAATCATGAATGTACTACTAATATTGTGTTGAAAAAGTAAATTTGGTTTCTGCTCTGTTACTTGTAACTTATTAAATGAATACATCAATAGTGTTACAAGGTTTATACATTGAAAATTGTTAATCCTTAAGACCTTGGTCACTATCTTAATTGTCTTAATAATTAATAAACTGATGTGAAATCTTTATTTAATTAAAGGTAAAGCAAAACCAAAGATGCCTTCAAACATCAGCTTCCCACCTTTCTGATACGTTGTTTGTGGTAAGTGATTATAAGTATGTAAAGTGTAACTCAATTCATTAGTTTGACACAATGTGATGCTAAACGTAGTTTGTTCAAAACTATAATTAAGTATTGATATTTAGCATAGAGACACAGACCAAGATAACCCTAACATTCCGTTTGAATTTACTGAAGAAAATAAGGAGCGAATAAAAGCAATACTGCAAATTTACCCTGAAGGTCATAAAAGAGGTGCTATGATTCCTTTGTTAGATCTTGCTCAGCGCCAACATGGATGGTTACCTATCTCAGCAATGCATGAAGTTGCAAATATTTTGAAATTATCTAATATGAGAGTTTATGAAGTGGCTACCTTTTATACCATGTTTAATCGTAGACCAATGGGAAAATACCATATTCAAATCTGCACTTGCACTCCTTGCTGGTTGAGAGATTCAGATAGCATATTAAAAACTATTTGCGAGCTTACCAATACTAAGGTTGGTGAAAACTCACCTGACCACATATTTTCAGTTTCTGAAGTAGAATGCTTAGGAGCTTGTGCTAATGCACCAATGATTCAAGTGAATGATGATTATTATGTATGTATCAAAAATAATTATTTTATAATGAATGAAGTAACTGGCTCGGACCTTATCATTATGTATTGATTTTTTTAGGAGGACTTAACACCTGAAACCACATCAGCTATTATTAATGCTTTAAAAAAAGGAGAGCGACCACCACCAGGGCCACAAATTTGTGAAAGGTATGCAGCCGAACCGAAATCTGGACTTTCATCTTTGACATCTCAACTTCCAGAACCTGGTTTTGGAGTACGTCAAGATTTATAAACGAGAGATACTATTTAGATCGTGCAAATCGTAATACTCAATAAAAATATAGAATACCACGCAAGTTGGAAATGAGATACTGTATGGTTTTAAACATGTACACGATAATAAATTTTAATGTAGCTGATATATATATACATATATATATAAATACGTTATTAGAAAACCAACATATTTAGAAAGACAAACACTTAAAATGAAATTTACGTGCCTCGTGCTCGGAAAGTGAAAATTCCCGGGATGTTAATCGTCATTAGCTGTCTCTTGAACTCCTATGGCTTAGTCAAGTGCACCTCTGTAAGGTTTCAACTTTTGCCACTTTATAAGAACTCCCATTGAATTTTGACGCTAGTCGTACTGTTAACATGTCGAATATTGACTTGCCGAACACCAGGACACGTGAAATCGTATACGCACCACGTTCAGAAGTTGAGGAATGTCCTAGATTTCACGTTTATTTGCGTGATATCTGCGACATTCTTAACCTCTCTCCCTAGGTGCGTAATATACTATCCACTTGTTCATATATTTTTTTTGTATTGTCCTTGATCAAACAAGATAAAATTTTTGAAGCCCTGCTGGATCTGTGCAAGAAAAATTTTCACGACTCATTTTAAAAATGCGATTTTATTAAAAAAAAAAAAATCTAATATGAAACGAAGATACAAAACGTTACAGGCTCTTGTGAATTCGTTGTAAAATTCATATTGTGACGCTCTAAATGAAAATTAAACTTTGCCATTGCACTTGTACATAACAGCTGTATTTTAACCCACTACGATAACCGAACGCTTCGGAAAGATAAACAAGATCCTTTAGAGTTACGGGCTTGGGAAAACTTAATTGCTTATGAACTTATAAGCCTGTAGCACTGCAGGCTTATTGAGATAGAAAAATCAGAAGAAATTTCTGCAACATCCGTAACCTCGGTAGGATAAAAAATGTTCAAATTAAAACGCTCAAATTCTGTTGCGTGCATTTGGGAGAACATTTTTCGTCGAAAATTTATTAGATTTTAGTCCCGCAAATAACACAGTTGTTTGTGATAATAACTTAAATGTCCCATGCTGTAGAAAAAATAAAAAAACCCGTATTTTGGTCCTAGGTCAGAGATTAATAGAAAGATAGCTGACTGCAATGCTACCAGTGTTGGGTAAGAAGGTGTGATTTTGCATTTTTATCACTAAGACCTATATATAGCTACAAATCCTAGTATGAAAAATGCAAAAGCAAGATAGGAGGGGAAAAAAGGCGAGTGGTTCTCCCAAAATGTGACTGGAAAAACTTGTGGAAAATTCAAATTGGCAATGTGGTGCAAGCAAGACGCAAATATCCAGATAACTCGACACAATTACATGCACAATAACTTAATAAACTAATCCCAAGCTATTTAACCCAAAAACCCAATGGGCCGATAAGCAGCCTCATAAGTTTTAATAAATAATAAAATTTATTGATTAACAAAGCAAGCACCAATCCCCACACAACCAGGGGCACTTACTGGTTGCTTTAAGTATTTATGATTAATAAACTAATAGTAGCTGATATATATATACATATATATATAAATACGTTATTAGAAAACCAACATATTTAGAAAGACAAACACTTAAAATGAAATTTACGTGCCTCGTGCTCGGAAAGTGAAAATTCCCGGGATGTTAATCGTCATTAGCTGTCTCTTGAACTCCTATGGCTTAGTCAAGTGCACCTCTGTAAGGTTTCAACTTTTGCCACTTTATAAGAACTCCCATTGAATTTTGACGCTAGTCGTACTGTTAACATGTCGAATATTGACTTGCCGAACACCAGGACACGTGAAATCGTATACGCACCACGTTCAGAAGTTGAGGAATGTCCTAGATTTCACGTTTATTTGCGTGATATCTGCGACATTCTTAACCTCTCTCCCTAGGTGCGTAATATACTATCCACTTGTTCATATATTTTTTTTGTATTGTCCTTGATCAAACAAGATAAAATTTTTGAAGCCCTGCTGGATCTGTGCAAGAAAAATTTTCACGACTCATTTTAAAAATGCGATTTTATTAAAAAAAAAAAAATCTAATATGAAACGAAGATACAAAACGTTACAGGCTCTTGTGAATTCGTTGTAAAATTCATATTGTGACGCTCTAAATGAAAATTAAACTTTGCCATTGCACTTGTACATAACAGCTGTATTTTAACCCACTACGATAACCGAACGCTTCGGAAAGATAAACAAGATCCTTTAGAGTTACGGGCTTGGGAAAACTTAATTGCTTATGAACTTATAAGCCTGTAGCACTGCAGGCTTATTGAGATAGAAAAATCAGAAGAAATTTCTGCAACATCCGTAACCTCGGTAGGATAAAAAATGTTCAAATTAAAACGCTCAAATTCTGTTGCGTGCATTTGGGAGAACATTTTTCGTCGAAAATTTATTAGATTTTAGTCCCGCAAATAACACAGTTGTTTGTGATAATAACTTAAATGTCCCATGCTGTAGAAAAAATAAAAAAACCCGTATTTTGGTCCTAGGTCAGAGATTAATAGAAAGATAGCTGACTGCAATGCTACCAGTGTTGGGTAAGAAGGTGTGATTTTGCATTTTTATCACTAAGACCTATATATAGCTACAAATCCTAGTATGAAAAATGCAAAAGCAAGATAGGAGGGGAAAAAAGGCGAGTGGTTCTCCCAAAATGTGACTGGAAAAACTTGTGGAAAATTCAAATTGGCAATGTGGTGCAAGCAAGACGCAAATATCCAGATAACTCGACACAATTACATGCACAATAACTTAATAAACTAATCCCAAGCTATTTAACCCAAAAACCCAATGGGCCGATAAGCAGCCTCATAAGTTTTAATAAATAATAAAATTTATTGATTAACAAAGCAAGCACCAATCCCCACACAACCAGGGGCACTTACTGGTTGCTTTAAGTATTTATGATTAATGAAATAATACCGCAAGCGCATATCCCAACACAACCAGGGGTAGTTACTGGTTGCTTTAATTTTTTATGATGAATAAAATAATACCGCAAGTGCCTATCCCCACACAACCAGGGGCACTTACTGGTTGCTTTGATTTTTTATGATGAATAAAATAATACCGCAAGCGCCTATCCCCACACAACCGGGGTGGCTTACTGGTCGCTTACTTAATTTACTATGAATAAAATGATAACGCAGGCACCTATCCCCACACAACCAGGGGCACTTACTAGTTGCTTTAATTTTTTATAATGAATAAAATAATACCGCAAGTGCCTATTCCAACACTACCAGGGCCACTTACTAGTTGCTTTAATTTTTTAAGATGAATAAAATAATACCGCAAGTGCCTATCCCAACACAACCAGGGGCACTTACTAATTGCTTTAATTTTTTATGATGAATAAAATAATACCACAAGCGCCTATCCCCACACAACCGAGGAAGCTTACTGGTCACTTACTCAAATAACTATAAATAAAATAATAACGCAAGCACCTATCCCCACACAACCAGGGGCACTTACTGGTTGCTTTAATTTTCTATGATGAATAAAATAATACCGCAAG